CCCCAAAACCCCAAAACCCCAAAACCCCAAAACCCCTTTGTCTATTTTCACAGATGAAAAAGCTAAATTATAATATTATCGTTCCAAATCCAGAATGGAAGAACAAAAACATATGCAAGGTATGACTGAGCCCTGGAAACAAGCGATCGAGTTGTTATTTTGAAAAATAGATGAAAGATTTTATTCTGAGGAGGAAATTGGCTAGAGATTACTTCCTTATGAGTCCAAAATTGGAAAAGCGATCTGCTAAAAAATTACCCAACCACTTTGGATTTATATATTTCTTGTCCCTTCCAATGATCTCTGCTTATCCCTCAAGCTTATCAGATGACCTATCTAAGCTGATTCCAGGAGACTAGTCTGTTATCGTAACTGGAGTATCTCAACGAGATGGTAGTATAGTGTCGAATCGGAGAATTTTAGAAAATATTAGTTAGCACCTGTATTTATCCCACAAACCGTCAGATGCTCTCCAGCCTACCTTTGTAGTTATTTATCAAGGCTTTGCCTTAAATAGAGATGTTTACTCCTTCTTGATTTGGTGCTCAAAATTTCAGATGCCATAAATATATCATAAAATTTAACTAAAGTTATTTACTTTGCATGACTTTAGATTTCATAATCACCAAAGTTTCCTTGCTTTTTATAAAATATTGAGGGATATTTACTCATTGGGAAGGTTCACATATTTCCAATATGACTGAAGAATTGTTAATATCTCTTAGGACCAAGCAAAAAATCTAGAAAAATCACCCAGAGATGGACCAGCCAAGAACACCAAATTTTAGTTAATTGTAAGCAACAGCTCTTTATTGGGCCTCAAGAAGTATGGCACTCAACTAAACTATATTGTAAATATAATCTCAATTATTTTCATGTCTAAAAGCTGGCATTTGATGTCCACGATCTAGCAAAGGATGAGCAAATTACTGGCCAAGGTATTTCTAAGCTTTTGATAATCATTTAGGCCAAAACAAGTCATCTAAGCTCCATTAAATATAAACACAATTCTATTAAGTCTAGAGTTAAGTAATCTGATTTCCAAGTGTATCTGGACAAATTTCTTTGAGAAATTTGCCTCTTCTACTTTGAATTTCCAAAATGGACTATTCGGACCCCAAATTATTAGATTTCTGCCACTTATATTCCAAGGGCAGGAGGAAAAGAGACCAAGTGGTAGAGAATAATAAGCCAGATGGAATTATTGGTCTTTAATGAAACTATAAATCAATCTATGAAATTATGCGAACTTGCTCCTGCCATATTATGATAAACTGGTTGCTAATATTTTATAGTAGAGAAAGAACAGGACGGAGATTCAGAAATTATCCCTGTCTCTAACACTAAGCCAATTGAGAAGTCATGCCCAAAACGATTTGGACAGAATTAAGAAGGAGTTTAATATCTCTAATCCTGCAAGATACGTTATGGATGAGCAAGTTCAAGGTAAGTAACCTCTTCAAGTCTCCTAAGACACATCCACACCGATGATTATGGGTTAAATAAGACTGCTTTTATTTTTGCCAGAACCATAGCTTGGCTTATTTTAAAAACCTCGATATGAATCCAAAGTTTCATATTTAAAAAGATTTCATCGTGAATCCGAGGCTTCTCAGTGGGACTAGGGGGATCTGTGAGACCCTTAGATCTAAGTTACAAACATAAGAGATATATCAAAAGATCTATCACCAAGGATGTTGAGTTTAAGGATGATCTTTTATTTTCATGCAAGATTTATTTGGTTTCCCAATTCCTGATTATTTCATTAATCTCATCCAACCTTTAGAAAACAATGTAGTGGATCAAGATCCTGCTTTTCCTGTAATACCAACTCTGACTAAGTAAGCTCATCTGATAGATTTTAGATATGAAGAATTTGTCAGTGAAGTTGGCATCCACTCGAATAAACATAATAGTATGAGGAACCATACTTATCCAAACCACTATGAACGCCTGAAGCGAAAATAGAAATAGTCAAGAAGGGTCATATGGCCAATCTTCAGAGCAAAGACTCCAGTCTTCTAATAAATATTTTAAAGACTCTAATGGGCTTCCTCAAGGGACTTCTACAACTCAAGACTCTGCTTACGTGTGCCTGAATGGAGGAGATGTAATGATCCGTGCTAATGAAATTGAAACTGTAATTCCCTGAGATATCCAGAAAAGGGCACTCCCTAGGTAACACAGGATTCATTTTTAGTGGCAAGCAAATAGCCCAGATTTATCCAAATCAGCATGTCAAAATCTTGATTTTACCTATGGAGGTACATCGAAGCTCAATGGCTTTTGATCATAAGATGAAAGAGTTCACACATACTGATGAAGGTGTACAACAGCAAAGGCCTTTATCTGGGTTCATGGCTAAACTCAGTCCTTTCCATCAAGGTCTCATGCAAACATTAGGGAATCTATATTGTCTCAAAGAGTATGGCGTGAACTGTTTTCAGGATTCAAATGAGCAATCCAGCTATCCAAATAGCAGTGCCTTAGCTGAAATAGGGGATGGAATTGAGAGCTATCTGTCATCTTCTCTAAGCAGGCACCACTGAAGGCAAGGTATTCAAGGGAGCCAAGGCAACCCTAACAACTCTCAAGAAGTCGTGCATAGTGAGACAAACCGAGACTTCTTCAGTAGCTTTGAAGTGCCTAAGAAGCGCTCTCAGTCAGATGAAGTGCAAAAGAGGTTACAATTGTAGCTTTCAAGTAATAATTTCATGAATAATTTCTGAAGTGCTTAATTTTGTTCCCACCAGTGCTAATTTATTTGGTCAATTCTAGTTCAATCTGTGGATATTGGCACGGGGTTTTGGGGTTTTGGGGTTTTGGGG